TAACTCAGACAATAAGTTAGATTAATTTCTCCCTACTTGTTTTGGGCTCTCTGCTGTCCTGACACCTTGGGAAGATTCTTGGGAATTCTTAAAGAATATTATTAGAAAAACTAAATACTGGTAAATATTGATATAATGGAATATTGAAAATATTCTTGGAAAAAATATCATGGGAATATTATGTTGAAGATAGTTTTCTTTAATTTGTGTTCCAAACTTGTACAAACTTCCAAGAGTTTTAATTGAGCCTTTAATTAATTTTAAGTACTCAAGAACTCAGCAATTGCTTTCATTTAGAGGTCTTTTTCTTTCATATATTTCCTAATGCAAATTTCTTCATGTTTGTTTAGGGCTAGTAATAATCTTAATGATAGCAAGTTTGCTTCTGAGACTCCAAGCCCTACAAATATGTGGTTTTTTAGATCTTCCATCTCTCCCCATTTGCAAGGAATGTTGCTAAAACATGTTGATCCTTTGGTTCTGGAAAATGGATAAACTATGGAATGTTTTTTCCATCCCTTCACATCTTCTTTGCTCTGCTTTCTACCCTTCTTTTCTGACACTGTGTCTTTCATATCCTTATTTTAAACATTTTGCACTGAATTCCTCCAAGATATTCTTCACACTTGTTATCTGTCATTTGCTTTAACTGCAGTTGCCCCTGTAGTTGTTGCATATCTACTCATCTATTCTTTGACTCCCTTGGTCTGCTGCACTGACCAGAGTACTAAGTACTGTCTATTTCTTTCAGTTCTCATTTTGTTCCTATGGAGTGGTCAAATAACGCATACATTTTTCATTTTTCTGTCGGGGTCGCTGACCAGATGCAGACAATCAGCTTGTTCAGTGGCACCCACAGCATGAGTCTCTAAAGCAACAGACAAACTGTGGTGCTCTGCAGCAGTGAGGAATCATATTCTCTGTATTTCTTAAAATCTGATAATGGTGAGTTTCTCAGCAAACCGAAGTTTAATACTGGTTCTTTTTTCTGTAAAGGTACCTTGGTAATGCAATGGTCATTCTGAGTCACTAGTGTATCAGGGTATGTTTGAGAAGTGTCCTGTAAAGAAAGGTTCTGCCATAATTATTTTGGCTGCCCATACTGGGGGTAGGCTCAAATAAAAGAATATATAGCACTACATCTTACAAACTGCCAGCAGATAGCATGACAGATCTTGAGTCCTACCTGCTTATTACATTATTTTTTACATCTGTGTGACACTGTGTAGAAGTCCAGAGACCTGAAGTGTTACACTTGCCTAAGCACAGAAATCAAATCATAAAAGAGCCACTGCTTGCACTATAACAATGTAGACATATCAGTATGGTTCCTGAGTGTCAGAATTAGTGGTATTATCATAATTATCTGTATTCAGAGCATAATTTGGGAATATATTTAATTATACAGTATGCTACCTTACCTAAAGTACACCAATGTTTTATTAAACTAACTGGAATTAAATTGCTCCATTTAAAGTGTTTCTAATTTAAAAGGTTCATTTTGGAAAGACTCTTCAAAACTGAGCTAATTAGCTGGGATTGCTTATTTGAATACTGTACAAAATGCATGAAATTTTTCCAAAATATGTTAAAAATAATTGAACCAGCTGTGAAAAAAAAAAAAAGTTTTGCTATGATTGCTCATACAGAATATTCTTTTGGTAAAATGATTTTATAAATTATTTTAATCTATCAGTCTTTCATAAACTTAAAATTATATGCTCATCTAATTCTAAAACCAAAAGTTGATATTTATTACTGAACTGTGATTCTTACTCAAAAAAACCAAAACCAAACAAACACAAAAAATTAAAAAACAAACCTTTTTTTCCTCGAATGTTTCATTGTTTTTATAACTGGATTAATATTTTAGAAAGCTTTCTGAAAATACCCCTTAAATGAATTAGTTTGTTTTTACTTTTATGAATCCTAGCTGTAAACCTGTTTAAGATAAGAAGCAACTATTTTAACATTTTAATCTGATTTACCTTTAATCTTGAAATTGTAATGCCTTGGGACTTATAGAGGGGAGACAAGTAGCAGAAATGAACCAGAAGGGTTCAGCTCAGGTTGGGGACTGAAATGGGTCCCCCAGGGACGTTTGGTAGGGCCAGTAAGGGCTGGTAGAGCCCTCATGGCCCTGACAGTATCCTTCTGTAATATTTTAGTTATTACCATATTGACATTATTAAAGCTCTGTGTAACTGGAAGAATGTTCTTACATTGTTGGGTTTTGTTATCTACAGTATAATTTTTGAAATGGCATCACAAATCATTGTAAAATGAAGTTTGCATCAAGAGAGTAACAGGTCTGGTCATGGAGAGAGAAAATTATCCAGTGTTTTTATGCTTTAGATATGTTTGTATTCCTATGTATGATATTCATTACACTTTATACTCGGCAGTAATTCCACATATTGCAGCTAAGTCTACTCTGAATGTCTAGCTCCTCTGAGTAGACTATTTTTGAATTCCTTGAATCTCTGTCTTTAGGCACTTCCTGCATAAAATAAAGTACAGGTAAACAATGTAATTGTTTACAATTACAATGTAATTGTAAACATTACAACATCATTACTAGATGAAATGCTGGACTGCTTAAAATGATAGAAGTTTTGCCACTGTGTTTTCTTTGGTCCAGTATTTAAACTTGATGATCTGTATTTGTCATCCAGAAAATGAGGAATATATATTTAAGTTCTTAACTTCTTCAGCCCTCTTTTTATTTTTTATATAAGACAAGAAAAAAAGAAAAAAGAAGGCCTGGATCACCTAAATTTTTATAATCCTCTGTATCAGAATTCCTGTATTTCAGAGATCCAAGGTTAGTTTTTTTTTTAAATTAGAACCTGGGAGGTAAGTTTTAGCCTGAGGTTTAAGTATTTTTCTGTGGTGAAAGAAAAGAAGCCTTCATTCAGACTGTGATCAGTTTTTGTGAGCCTAAGTGTCCAAACCTTTCCTGAACAGGCAAAAACAGGCATGGCTGTATCCCTTGCCAATGATAAGATTATTCTGAATGAGAAGACTTTTAACCAAAAAGTTAACTTTTAACTTTTTTTAACTGAGTGAGATGACTTTTAACACAAAAGTGAAAAGGGCTCCTTTAAAAAGCTTTGGCCTTGCAGATGCCTATTAGAACAACTACCTTTCCCAGACCAGCAGTTGCCTGGACTAATGATTTTCAAAAGACCATAAGGAAAGTGGAAATTAAGTGGTGAAATAAAGGTCCTTAACAGCTGCTTTTGTTGCTAGAAGCTCCCTTGATTGCATCCCATGTTCATCTCAAACTAGTAAGATTGAACACAATGTCTCACTGATAATTATATCTTTTTATCTGGAAAGATGGACAAGCCAAACAGTCACTTTCATCTGCCAGAATCTGTGAAGCAGAGCTAATTGGCAGGATGCTAGAGAGGTCATAGCATAGTCCAGTGAGAGATTAAATACATCTGAACTCCTTGAAATTAGCTCAGAGTCCTTTAAGGCTTCCCAGGGAACCGATTATCATTTAAAGTTAATAATCATAGTGAAAACAACTGGGAAGAATGCTTCTTGTACATTCTGGATACAAAACTCTGGATACAAAGGAAAGGACTGTAAAGCACAAAGAAAATTTTGGGGAAATTATACATCATTCAGATAAAAATAAATCTTTATCTATGTCTCTTTGTGTAATTTCCTTCTTATCTAAAAAGCTTTTAAGAACAGCAAGAACCACTATATTAAGAGATGCAAATGCAAGGTCTCTTTAACCTTTACATGCTTAATCCAGGGATGAACAATAATGGATGCCCAGGAAGAATCTACAAATATAACAAGTATATAACAAATTTCCCAAATATCTTCCTAGCCTTTAGTCGTTCCTACCTAAGGCACATCCCCAGCTGTTTCTGTCAGATGTCTTTATGCTGTTGGATAAACATATGTAAGCATACTGAGTGCTAGCAAACTGCCAGAAGCGATGAAGTACCCATGGTCTCTCTGCAAGCTTCAGGGAAAGAGCTGTGTGGTATCAGGTCATTTCAGGGAGAACAGTGCCTCTCTGCTGCAGCAGTCACAATCCTACTTTTCTCCTTCTCTCATGAACTCACCCCACTCCAGTGAGAGCATGATTGGCGAGCTTGCACTCTTTTTTTTAGGCTGTTTCTCTTGGCTCTCTGTTGAAGCTCTTCCCCTTTCCACCGCATATCTGCTTCCCCTAAAGCAGTGCATCTGGCTCCTCATTCTTCAAGAAGCAAAAATTCTTTTTTGGGTTGTTTATGCTGGCTTTGAACACAGGATAAGCTTACACCTATATATGCAAACATTTTTCAAAAGCTCAAACCTAGCTGGATGCTGAAAGCCACATAGAGATCCTGCCAACCGACTCCAAAATTGTTAAGACTGTATTTAGCATAAAGTGTTTGTCTCCTTGCTGTATCAGTTTGATCCCTAATAGTACCTGTAAGGTACTAATGGCAGTGGATCAGGGTTCTCTAAGATCTCACCTTCCAGTGCTCTCATTGTTTTCTTTGAGAGTAACAATTCTCTTTATTTTCAAAGAAACACATATCCGTGTTTGTAATGTTTTAGTAAATGCAATGCAAATATTATACATTGTGCAGATAATATGATAATACAACACAGTGTTGGTTAGGTAGTTAGAAAAGTATAGGTTAATAATATATGGGAAAGGCTAGTGGAACAGGTTTGCATTAGGGTTTTTTTGAATTTGGAACCTTGTAATATTAACAGGTAATTAAAACTCAAATTAAAGAAATTAAGTTCAAATCTGATTTCTGAAGCAGGGATTGTATGCACAAAAATTTCAAGTTTAAATTAGTATTTTTGGTATTATTTAATATAAAAATTTCACTTGTAAAATATTTCATGAAATTATTAAAAAGGGTTGTTATACTTGACACAAATGTTCTCTCAGCAGGCATGTTAATACTAAGTTCTAATTTCATTTTACCTCAATTTTTTGTTCTCTCATTTATTGTCTCATACTTATTTCCCAGGATAGCCCACTGGTCTTACAGTCTGACAGAAATGTAACAGTGAATGCAAGAAATCACATGGGACAGTTAACTGGACAACTGACAGTAGGTGAGTGTTCTTTATTGACTGTTGTGTTTATCACTTTACCTTTATTAATAAGTTGCATCACTTAAAAAATATTACTGAAAAGTCGGGAAAAAAATCTCATCATCATGCTCAAAAACCATTGCATACAATGGACCATAAAAGCATGATTTAGCATTAGCTCAAAAAAGGAAAACTAGAGATGCATCGAAATAGCTAAAAATGAAAACAGCTTAATGAAAAGTTATTATTTTTGAGACCATTGTAACAAAACAAACAAAAAAGCCTCAGCAAAATATGTTTTAGCAACACTTTCAGTTGGAAAATAACCATAATTTTCTTACACTTTCTGTCAGTCATGCTTTGGCCCTGTCACTTTTGTAAGGCATTTGTATCAGCACATATTCAAAGGAGTAACACTTAAAAATCAGAAAAAAAAAACCCCAAACCAAAACACACAAAAAAACCCCAAAAACAAAAAATGCTTTCCAAGCCACTACAAAATTTAAATGAAAAGCTAACATACTGCCAGTCACTCATTAAAATATATTTTACAAAGTATAAAATACCACAGTTCCAAATGAAATGGATATAAAAGAATCCTCTACTTATCTGTTTCACTTAACATGTATTTCCCATTTTATGAAATTTATTGTGTTATACTTTGCTTTTAGTATGAATCATACTTCTTTTGTTAATAAATAGGGAGTAATATTTTTTATATTTTCTGGACTAGAAGAGAACGGATATTAATTTATTTTTTAAAATATTGGTCAAAAATTTACTGAAAGGTGATGTACTAGTTTTGCTACAAAACAATATATATTGACTGGGAATGGGATAAAAAATATAACATACATTTGTAAGACCTTAGTGTATAAAATTCAAGGAGACACCCCTTAGACTCCATGTGTTTTCATTTTTTTCATTTTACTTCTGGATTTAGATGTGTTTTGTGCATTGTTTTTTTCCTCGCGTGCTGAGGTTATGCCCACAAATAGTTTTAAGTTAAAGTCTAGTTGTAACCTACAGTAAATTTTCATACTAACTGGAGACAGTGGCTTCTAGTTGTAAAAACCTTTTCCAAGTGCACACAGTGACACACCATCTGCACTGATTTCCCTGAGCGACCACATTGAATGAGCGTGCAAAGGTAACCAGACTTGCTAGCAGGTACAGATGAGGAAAATTAAACTAACACCTGTCCTGGGCATATTGTACTTGCCCAATGCAATTACAAAATGCAGTTCTCTATCGTCTGGTAACTATTGTTAAAACCTCTCCTTCAGCCGGTAACTGCAAAAAGGTGGGTTGCCCATGGCAGACATTCACATTGGCTGAAATAGATATAATATTTTTATCACTGACACTATTCTGGCTGAGTGAATCCAGCACTGAAAATCTGTGTGAGTGTATTGAGACTGACCTACTTAAAGGCATCACACTAGAGGTTAATATTCTAAAAATATGAAGGCCTGAAAAAAAACCACGTGTTTTTGTTACCATCATTGGGGTGAACACTTTAAGCTTGTTGGTGTGCAGCTGGTGCTATCTCTGGAGACTAGAAGCTTGTTAAATTGCAATATTGTATTTACATTATTTCTTAATCTATCTTCCTCTTTGTTTCATATATGGCCTTTGTTATTTCTTATATTGGTAAAAAAATATTTTTCTTTTTTTTTTTTTTTGGTGAATCCCCTGTATTGGGTGCATGTTAAAATACTCCTTATCTCTTATTAAATACTTCTTACTTAGTAAAGACAGTCACAACTGCCAGTAGACTCAGTATTTTCTACTCTTAAGAAACCAAAGAAATTAACAGGAACCTAAAAGTAAAAAATATTAATTATTTTTTTAAATTAAGGCACTCCCTTCTACATTTTTTTTGTTTTGAAAGACAGAACAGAGACATGTTTTTACTTTTGCCTAGGTAAAATCATGGACACACCTGCTGAAAGAATGGGAGGGGACATTTCTATGCAGAATTTGCTGACAAAAAAAAATATTTTTTCTCTCTTAGCTGTAAATATGCCCCAGAAAGTCCTTGTCTTTATAAGTACTCTCTGACAATTCACTAGTGATGTGTGCTGAAGCAGCTGTTTGTGTGGCTGCCCAATGAAAGGAATGAAAGTAAACAGTGAGGAAAAGTGTTTTGAACAACAACAAAAAAGTAAATTATCATATCTTGGGGGACAGAAATTTTCTTGTTAAAACTTTGAAATGTCATTATCTGTTCTTTCTTTAAAGAGTTGAATAATAATCATTAAAAAAAAATAGACTACAAATTAATATGCATGGCAAGAGCGTTCTACAAAGAAAGGATGCCAGTGCATTCAAAAGGATGATAATGCACTTTTTATACATGTGATATCATTGGCATTTTATCCACATTTCACAGGACTGGAGTGATACTACAAGCCAGCAAATAGGCTGGTCTCTTCCTGTGTTTGGCAGCCAAATTTCTGCTCATGCCAACTAAAAATTCTTTCTGTGATGTTTGAAACCATGCCATGTAAGACTAAGACAGCCTTAAGAGCATATAATTAGAACTGGAATGGGAAGATGGATTAGTGTAAAAAAGTGTTATTGTTATTGGGCTGTGAGGAAGAAGGCTATATGTTCACTCAGGGAGATGGAAAAAAATCCAGTGAATCTCTTAATGGGTATTCAGTTCTGGAAGTGACAAAATATGTCATTAAAATGCATCATTAAGACATCTTGGGAAACATCCTAACCTAGGTGGAGTGAAAAAAAAGTATATTAAATAAATTTTTTAAAAAGTATCCAAGTGTATTGGATGATTGGGTGGTTGTATGTTTAAATAGTATAAATTCAAGTTATGCTTCAGGTCATACAAGATCAAGGGTACACCCATTATTGCAGTACGGTATTTTTTATACTGGCGCCAAAATCTGTAGAGAGAGAAAGTCACAGCTGTAGCAATGCTTTCTGTTGGGCTCTGTACCAACAGAGCAAGAAACATTGGTTTGTACTGCAGTCTATTCATGACATATGGTCTGGAAACTGCCAAGTTTGTGTCTGGGTCTCCAAGAGGACTCCACAGCCTTCAGTTTTTAGGCATGCTATTTAAGACCAATGGGGCAGATGTAGCACAGACATGAATTGTATGTGCAAAATAAAGATTAAAAGATGACAATCCATTGAGTTTTTCTGGATAAGTTGTCACATTTGTCTACTTACTAATACTTCTGCATTGTTCCACTGCATAATTCCACAGAATTACCTTTACACAACCTTTTTTCTCTGTTTAATCAATGTTTGCACAGTTTATATGGAAAATTATTCTTTTTTTTCTACTGATCTTAGAAATGCACATTAGTTGCTCACCTTGAGCTGCAAGTCTTTTGTCTCCATACCGTCTGCACATATCTTAGATACCTCTGCCTGCCTTTGAGTGCAGTATGTTAGGCTTGCAAGCACTAAAAAAATGTAATGTGACATTGGAAACTGAAGGACACATTTGTAATTAATGTAAATTCATCCTCAGGTTGGATTATTATTTCAGGTTTTTTGTTTGGGTTTTTTTTGGTTTTTTTTGGTTGTTTTTTTTTTTTTTTTTTTTTGTAAGAGGTGTTTTTTTCTTACTTTTTTTCCTTACTGCAATAATTGTTTCTGACAGGCATTTCTGCTACTGTTTGACCCTTTTCTATTCATAAAGAACTCTAAGGATATATGAAATGTGCAAAAAATGCATTTAATTTCTGCTAAGCTTTGAGCCCTCAGACAGAATCATAACTCTCACAGACATCCAGACCTGTACAAGTCACAGCTTTAGAGAGCTCCTGAACCTGTCTGTCTAGTCACTGAGATCTCCAGAGCCATGCAAATTCAGAAAAAATATTTGAATACCAAAATTATATCACATTCTTGCAGCTACTTTTTGAAAATAGCAGGCAGATGTATGATTTTCAATTACGGCGCTGCTAAAGACTGATAACACTGCTAAAAGATATACTCAAACAACTTGTCAAACTTGGAGATCCTTTCCATACATTTACCACAAAACTTGTCTTGTGTCTTCTGAGATCTTTTTCTTTAAAATTTGCTTGCTTTCTTGTGGTGTTCCATCAAGAGTACTTGGTTTATTGTGCAGAAACTGTTGGACATTAGAAACTGCAGGTATGTAACTTTGTGGGAGTGGGAGTCTCCTTTATCATCCATACCTATATCGTATAGGGCAGATTCCTATGCTTATATCAAGTGATACCTTACAGGTAACCATCCTGCTACCCCTTTGCTTCTGAGGTACTCAAGGTAACTCATCACTTCAGTGCCACTTCTGATGTTCCCTTTGCAACATTTAGATATCAACGAAGAGATGAAGCAAGATACAATATTTCAAGTATTCTTGCTTTTAGAATTATCTGTGGGAGTAACAAAATGTTATAATGTATTCTTACTCTGTGGGCTACTAACAACAATAATAATGTACATGTACAAATATGTGTGAACATGTTGCTCTAAATCTTTGGTGTTATTGTCAAACATTTACTTAAGATTTTTATGAACTTGAGCTAAGTATCTATTAATAACATCCTTAATGAGACAAGAATTGTTTCTTGTTTGCATGCACTGTAGACTCAAATGTAAGGTCTTTTCTCCAAAGTATTTCAAGGGTGGTTTTAGAATGATCATAAACATACACCCTTTCCTCACTGTTGGAAAAGGGAGAAAATGGTCTCTGCTCTTCTCTCATCTGCACAATTGTTCTTGTATCATCTGTAGTAGGGTCCTGGGAGGGAAGGGATGAGTTGGTTCACAATCCCTCATCAGTTTCTGCCCTTCAACTGGGCAAACATGGATTAGAACTTGTCAAGAATATGTGAAAGAAAGCTCCTTCTGCTTACAAAGAGGTTTGCCTACCTGTCAGTCCAAACTACATTGAGATTTCTAAAATCTGAAATACATTAAACATTCCGCAAGTCTAATTTCCATATTAAAGCAATTGCTCTTGTAACCCCTGTGGTAAAGTAGAATAATTATTAATGCTAAGAAGACATGGC